CCCACCAAAGGGCTGGGAAAGCAAAGGCAAACCCAAGTGCCTCAGACATTTTGTGAAAGACTTACAGGGGATTATGCTCTTAATGGGAAATGTAAGGATGTGGGAATAAATCACAGCCTTTTCCTCTAACCTGTGGGGTAGCATTCGCCTGAGCCTTTGGGCTGGATTAGCTCTGTCTGTTTATGTTTTAAAGACTGATGTGTTTTTCACTATCAAAATATAAATTATTTTTACTGTATCAATGATTAAATATTTTTCTTTGAGATCATAGAGTCCAAAAAAATAAATGTTTCTGAAGAGGCATTCAAAAAATTTAAAAGAAGGAAAAAATCCCTCTGAGAACCCCTTTTGTCATTTGCAACCAATAAAAATGCCTATTGTTATGAAGGGCTCATAAATAATCTGATTTTGGCATGCTTTCATACCATACAGAAAATGAATAAATTAAACTTGATTTACAGCCTTTTTCATTTTTATTAGAGTTGCTCTAAACATTTTCTGTGACGTACGTGCCAGATGAGCTGCACTGAGTGGTTTGAGGCTCTGGCCCTGGTATTATAGAAATTAAGTTGGTTTCATTTGCATAGTTTAATTAACTAATACTGGCAAAGAAAAAAAGGAAACCAGGGGTGAAGGTGAATTTTTTTTATGGGTGTCTGAGGGCTGAATGAACCCAAGGAGGCTGATCCCCCAAAGTGCCAGCACAGGGACATGCTGGGGTCCCCACAGCGATTTTGGGAGGTGCCAGTGCTGCCAGTGCTGGAGACTGGGGGGTCACCATCGCCCCCCTTTTAGAGATAGGGAAACTGAGGCACGGGAGCTTGGCTGCTTGGCACAGCATAGGGTTATCATGAGGGCCAGCAGAGAGAACACCCCAAAGTGTCCTGGGGTGTTCCATGCCAGGGCCGTGCAGCCCCTCCATCTGCCGAAAACCCAGAGATAAACAGGCAAAACCCCCAAAAAGGCCCCGTGAAGTGACTGCGACCCCGGCCAGCCCCGGCCTCCTGAGCTCCCTCCCTCCAAAGCTCCTTGGCGAGTGTGGGATGTTCTCCTCCCCCTCCTGCAATTTATCCCGCAGAATTTCCCACCAGGAAACAGCTTCATTACATCAACAACAGGAAGACCCCACTGATTTGTCACACAGAAAAGCAGCTGTTAGTCACACATCAAGGGAGCAGGGGAGGGGAAAAAACCCTTCACCTTTTTCTGCTTTAATGTTTGCAGCGTTAATGGCTCTGCGGAGGGAAGCCAGCCCCGGCCATTCCATAACTAACCATCACCAGCGAGGATCAGTTAATATCCAAGTGTCTTCCTGCTTTTCCTGCTACATGATTGCTTTGGAAAGAAAGATTAATTCCAACTTTAAAAAAGAAAACACTATTTTTATCATTGCCAGGAGTCTATACGGGCTTAAAAAAGAAAAAGCACTTGCTTGTCGTTTTACATCTTGCAATTTTGTCAGTTGTTTTAAAACATGTCTCCTGTAATAAATAAGATCATTTTTATGCACTTGTTCTGCAGCTAAAAGCAAGGCCTGGGCTGGTGCTGCGTGGGGAGCCGAGGGACGGGGCTGGAGCAGGGCAGGGAAAACGCTGACTCGGAGGTTTTGCAGGGAGCAGCGGGAGGGGCTCGGGAGGATTTACCTGGGAAGCAGCAGGCGGGCACGGAGGGGCACTCAAGGCTCGGATTTAGGGCGTGCCTGGCATCCTCATCCTGCAGCGGGGGCTGGAGCCACCCGCAGCTCCCCCACAGTGACTGGAGCCCGGGGGGACCCGTCCAGGCCCACCCGGCACCGCTGTCCCCCTGGGCAGTGTCCCCTCACTGCCCTGCGCAGTGGGACATGGAGCCCCCACACCCTCACACCCCAGCTGCCCTTACCCTGCTTTCCCTTCAGCTGTGTCCAGCAGCAGTGAGACAGGAGAGGTTTACTCCAAAGCCCAGCAGAGGAGAGGCCCAGCGATTTAAATTCATGTTTTGTCTAATCTAATCTTATCCCACCAAATTCTCGCACTGGGTGCCTCTCTCCATCCTCTGCACCCCCTGGCACTCAGGATGCCATGGACACAAAACTCCCTGCTCAGACTCATCCCAAGTTATTGGAAGATCTTGAAGATAAACAAAAACCCAGTTCCCTCTTCCCCAGCCTCACCTCACAGGTCGCAAAGACATCCGAGCCCCTGGGCTGAATTAGGGCTCTGCACAGGAACTCATCCTTGGCAAAATCAAACCTCGTTAACGCCAGCCCAGGTGGGGTGAGTCTGCTTAGGGATGCAGACATCATCACTCATTGGTGAAAGTGCTCCCCGAGGCTTCTGGTCTTCTTTGGCTTTGCTTCTGTAACAAATATTTTGCTTTTCCTTTGGTGCTGGTGTTATTTTTGTTGCGCAGGGGTCTCGCTGCTTTTATTTGAACTTGTGCAACCTCTGAGCAGAGAGGGACTTGTCATGGAGCACAACTGGACATGGAACAGGGAAGTTTAACTTTCTCCCCTCTGGTTGATGTTCTCCTTAATAAAAACAGGACCCTCCTGGATTTTAGAGCAGAGGATCCAAGGGACACCAGCGTGGAGATCCATCATTCCCCAGGAACCCCCTCTGATGAAGGGCTGTTTGCTTTACTCCGGCAAACACAAGCTCACGCAGAATGGTCTCTGTGTGCCAGCACCGGGGCAGGATCAGGCCTTGGGCATGCCCAGGGTCTGGGAAGGACAAACAGCCCCAGGGGCATCACTGCTCCATGCCCCAAGGTCCGGGGAGGACAAACAGCCCCGGGGGCATCGCTGCACCGTGCCCTGGGGTCCAGGAAGGACAAACAGCCCCGGGGGCATCGCTGCTCTGTGCCCTGGGGTCCAGGAAGGACAAACAGCCCCGGGGGCATCACTGCTCCATGCCCTCGCGGCATCGCCGCTGCTCTTATGCCCTCATCCCACCTGATTTTGGGTTACTCCGTGAAGGCCGTGTTGTTGTTGGCAAACAACTCAAGTGACTTTGAGGAAAGCCTTTTTTTCTGTTTCCTCCTTCCTTGAATGGCTCCTTTGAGCGGCAGCGCCGCTCCGCTCACATCCCGCTGTCCGGATTGAATCAATCTTGCGGTCAGCTTTGGGAGAGCGAAAAAAAGAGAAGAAAAAAGCCTCACAAAGAGGGCAAATTGACAGGTCTGACCCTGGGTGTGATTGATAGAGCTTGGACGAGCGGGACTGGATGTGAGGCTGCGCTGGGCGATGCCAGCGCTCACTGGGGAAATCCAGCAAAGCCTTTTTTCCCAGAACCCAGAGCAGCGGGCTTGCAGAGGGGTGGGCATATGAACTTAATAATAGCAACATTGTTGGAACATAAAGCATCTGTCAGGAGTTAATATGATTAATTAGAGGTGTCTGTGTCTCCCCCTTTCCTCTCTCCCTTGCTGGGTAGGCAGAGGGACCTGAAACACAAACCCAGGAAGGGCAGAGGTGGGGCTGGAGTGGGCACCTGGCCCCATGTCGCCTTTCTTCAGACCAAAGGTCCTCAGTTCTCATCCCATCCTGGCCCCCAGGATTTTATCCTGTTACACCACGTCCCCATCCCATTACACATCTCCCCTCAGGCCCCCATTCTCCCACCAGCTCCCACCTGAAGGCCAGGGAAGGAGCTCTCACCCCAGCAGGACCCCACAGCCTCACACGGACATCACTTGGACAGAGCTCCCGGATTTCTCCATGTGCCTTGGCTCCTCAGGGACAGAGCCTGGCTGAGCTCGGCTGGTTTTCACCCCCCTGCAAAACGGAAGCCCCAGGGGTTTGTGAAATTAATTCGAGGATGTCTGGAAAAGGTAACTAGAAATAGGAAGTTAATTGTTGGAAGTTAATTAGTTATACAGCAGTCTGCAGTGGCACCTGAAGATTTTTAAGACTCAGCAAACCAAAGAAAGGAGAAAATGCCTGGAAAAAAAGGAGTTGTAGGTTCATAAGGGAATTGTCCCTTTGTGGGAGCCCTGAGTTAAGGTCAGCCCCCTCGCCTTGGGTGGCACCGGGACAGGGCACAGGTGCTGGCTGCAGGGTGGCAGGACACAGGCCCTGGGTGCAGGTTTGGGTGCAGGAGCCACTGGCACAGGGGTGCTGAGCTGCACCAGGCTGATCTTATCTAAGCCGTGCCATGGCAGCAGTGCCATGCCATGGTGTGCCAGCTGAGTCATGCCATGCCATGATCAGCCACGCTGAGCATGCCATGCCAGCAGAGCCGAGCTGTGCCATTCCAAGCTGCGCCATGGCGTGTCAGCCATGCCAAGGTGTGTTAGCAGTGCAAAGCTGTGCCCTGCTTAGATGTTCCGCCAAGCTATGCCCAGGTGTGCCAGCAGTGCCATGCCATGCCGTGTCATCCAAGCCATGCCATGCCCAGGTGTGCCAGCAGTGCCATCCCATGCCATGGTCAACAGTACCAGCAGTGTCATGCCATGCCATGCTGTGCCAGCAGCGCTGTGCCATGCCGAGCCGTGCCATGGCATGTCAGCTATTCCAAGGTGCTGGCAGTGCCATGCTGTGTCCTGCTTCGGTTTTCCAGACAAGCTATGCCCAGGTGTGCCAGTAGTGCCATCCCATGCCATGGCCAACTGTGCCAGCAGTGCCGTGCCGTGCCGTGCCGTGCCAGCAGCGCCGTGCCACGCCGAGCTGTGCCAGCGGCATCACGCCACGCCGTGCCCTGCGAGCCGCGCCCGCCGCTGCCGCCGCTGCCGGGGCCGGTGCCGCGGTTCTCCCCCGCGCGGCGGCGCGGGGCGGTGGCGGCGGAGCGGCGGCGGCTCGCCCCCCCCACCGGCGGCTCTCCCCGCCCCGGGGGCCCGGCCGGGCGCGGATTGGTGCGCGGCGCCGGCCCCCTCGGAGCGCGGCCGCCATCGGGGCTATTTGACGTGTCGGTGGGGCCGGGGAAGGGCTTCGTCTCGCCGGGGCCGCCGCCGCCGCCGCTCCGCCGCCCGCCCGGCCCGGCCCGGCCCCGCGGAGCCCGGGCACCCCCCCCTTTCCCCCGCCCCAAATGAGCGGCGCTCCCGGCGGGCCCCGGCCGAGGACCCCGCCGAGCCGCGGAGCCGCGGCCGCCCCGTCGCCCCGGCCGCCCCCCGCCGACCCGCTGCGCCAGGCCAGCCGGCTGCCCATCCGCGTCCTGAAGATGCTCAGCGCCCACGGCGGCCACCTCCTGCACCCCGAGTACCTCCAGCCGCTCTCCTCCACGCCCGTCAGCCCCATCGAGGTCAGTGCTCGCCGCCCCCGACCGCGCCTCGGACCCCCGGAGCCGCGCTCCCGGTCCCCCCGGCCGGGCTCTTCCCAGCCCGGCGCTCCCGGTTCTCCCGGCCGGGCTCTTCCCAGCCCGGTGCTCTCGGCATTCCCGGCCGGCGCTCCCGGTTCTCCGGGCCGGCTGCTTCTCAGCCCAGCGCTCCCGGTTCTCCCGGCCGGCGCTCCCGGTTCTCCCGGCCGGCTGATTCTCAGCCCAGCGCTCCCGGCTTTCCCGGCCGGCGCTCCCGGTTCTCCCGGCCGGGCTCTGCCCTGCCCGGCGTTCCCGCTCCCCCCACCCCGTTCTTTCCCTCCCCCCCGCCGCCGCAGCCCCGCTTCCCCCCCCCCGGACGCGGTCCCTCTTCTCCCCGGTCGGGCGCGTCCCCCCGCCCCGTCCCCCCCATCCCCGCGCCCTGGCTCGGCGCCGGGCCCGGCCCCGGGGTTTCGGGGGTGGGGGAGGCCGGTGCGGGGGCGCCGTCGGGGTCCCCCCTGACCGGCTCCGCTCCGCCCGCAGCTGGACGCCAAGAAGAGCCCGCTGGCGCTGCTGGCCCAGACCTGCTCGCAGATCGGCAAGCCCGACCCGCCGCCCTCCTCCAAGCTGAACGCCGTGGCGGCCGCCGCGCCCGCCGCCGACAAGGAGCCCTCGGCCCGGCCCGCCGCGCTGAAGCCGCCGGGCGGCGGGGACGCGCCCGCCGAGGACAAGTCGAGCTTCAAGCCCTACTCCAAGGGCGGCGGGGAGCCGCGCAAGGAGGGCGGCGCGGACAAGGCCGGCTTTCGGGTGCCCAGCGCCGCGTGCCCGCCGTTCCCCCCGCACGCCGCCGCCTCGCCCGGCGGCTCCCGCGGGGCCTCGCCGCAGCACCCCGACCCCAAGGGCGCCGAGGAGAAGAAGGAGCCCGAGGGCGGCAAGCCCAGCCCCGAGGGGACGGGCGGGGCGCTGGGGCGCGGGGTGGCGGAGCCCGGGGCGCACGGCGAGCCCCCCTCGGGCCGCAAGTCGGAGCCCCCCGCGCTGCCGCCCGCCGGCCATGTGGCCCCCGTGTCGCCCTACAAGCCGGGCCACTCCGTCTTCCCCCTGCCGCCCTCCAGCATCGGCTACCACGGCTCCATCGTGGGCGCCTACGCCGGCTACCCGTCCCAGTTCGTGCCCGGGCTGGACCCCACCAAGCCGGGGCTGGTGGGCAGCCAGCTGCCGGGGGCGCTGGGGCTGCCGGGCAAACCGCCCAGCTCCAGCCCGCTCACCGGGGCCTCGCCGCCCTCCTTCATGCAGGGATTATGCCGGGACCCGTACTGCCTGAGCTACCACAGCGCCTCGCACCTGGGCTCCAGCAACTGCTCCAGCTGCGTGCACGACCCCGGCAGCCTCAAGAGCGGATACCCCCTGGTGTACCCCACGCACCCCCTGCACTCGGTGCACACCACGCTCTCCTCCAGCGGCACCCCCAGCCTGCCCGGCCACCCCCTCTACACCTACGGCTTCATGCTGCAGAACGACCCCCTGCCCCACATATGCAACTGGGTGTCTGCCAGCGGACCCTGCGACAAGAGGTTTGCCACCTCGGAGGAGCTGCTCACCCACCTACGGACCCACACGGCCCTGCCGGGGGCCGAGAAACTCTTGGCGGGCTACCCTACCTCCGGGCTGGGCTCCGCGGCCTCCTGCCACCTGCACCTCCCGCCCGCCGCCCCCGGGAGCCCCAACACCTTACCGGCCTCGCTCTCCTTGAGGAGCCCACACACTTTGGGACTAAACAGGTACCACCCCTACGGCAAGAGCCACTTGCCCACGGCCGGCGCCCTGCCCGTGCCCTCCTTGCCGGCCGCCGGACCTTACTACTCCCCGTACGCGCTCTACGGCCAAAGACTCACGTCAGCCTCGGCTTTGGGATATCAGTAACCAGCGCGGCCCCGGCCGGCTCAGCCCCAGCGCCCCGCGCCCTCCTTGGACTCTGTATTTATTACTGTATGTTAGCTTAAAGCTGGGAATATAAGTGCATTATACACCAATGAATCAATGGTATGCAAAAGTCTGTGTCCAAAAAAAAAAAAAAAAAGCCGAAAAAAAGAAAAAAAAATTCCCTCTTTACTTTGCAGGTGTGGGGCTTTGATTTTCCCCTTCTGTTTCTTTTGAATTTTTTTTTCCTTCCCCTTCTTAATTTCCCTCGAGAAATTCTTGCATGACTCCTACCACACATGGAAAAGCAAAAAAAAAAAAAAAGGCATTTTCCTCCTTTCCCTCTGCGTTCATCGCTCTGGGATTCTGTTCTCTGCATTTGTAATTTGCAGATGTAATTTTTTTGGGTAATTTTTTTCTTATTTTTAATCTTCGGGGTTTTCAAAATTTTTGTTTTCCTTTTAAAATTTTTGTGGTTTTTTTTTAATTTTACTTTTTTTTTCTTCTTTTTTCTTTTTTTTTTTTTTTTTTTTTTTTTTTTTTGCGCTGTGTCCGGGGCCGGGGGGTCTGCGGACGCCGGCCGGGTGATGGTCACCGCAGGCCGTGCCCCGCCGGGGGCTGCAGGACCCCGCGTGTCCCCCCCATGCCGGGGCTGGGGGGACCGGAGGAGCGGCGGGCGCAGCGGCAGGACCGGCGGCCCCGGGCGGGCGGACAGCCCCGGTAAGTCTGATTTTGTTAATAAACGGCTCTTGGTTGTACCCACGCTCTGGTCTGGTCTCGTCCCTGCCCGGGGGTCCGGCGGGGGCCGCGGGGTCCCAGCACCATCTAGCGGCGGCGGCGGCGGCACCGGCGGAGCCCGGGGAGGGCAGCGGCGGCAGCGGCGCCCCGGGAGCGCTCCCGGCGCGGCCCCGCGGGCTCCGCGCCCCCGTCCCCCTCCCCGCGTGTCCTGCCCCCGGTGTCGCCACGCGTGGCGGCGGAGGGAAGGCTGGAGGAGGCGGCTGGCGGGGTCGGAGCGGTGCCCCCGGGTGGTCGCCCCCTCCCGGGGTGCAGTTGTGGTAGAAGCAGGGTCCGGATCTCGGTGTGAGGGCGGCCGGGAGCTGGGGGGTCCTGCCTGCTCCCGTTCCGGTTCCGTGCGGGGAGGAGGGGGATGGAAGGCTCTGGCACGGCCCGGCTCCATCCCCACCATGTTGGGGGGCTCAGCTGGGCAGGGGGCTCTGCCTGCTCCATGCCCCAAGGAAAGCGTTTTTACTCCAGCACTGGGACCCCCGGCCAAGCCCCTGCTCCCCCTGCAAACCCTGCATGCCCTGTTGCCCCACATCACTTCTTTTTTTTCTGCCTCGTTCCTGTTGCATTTCAGTGAGTCACACAATTAATCCCTGTTAATTACCTTCTCGATATTGCTTTATGCCCTGTGTTTAAATTCCTTTGTGTCCTTTGAGCTGAAAAATAACGCTCTGAGAACAGGGACTACTTTTGCCGAAGGGATTTTCATTTCCCTGCCTGTGCCTCGAGCGTGGCTGCGGGCGTGCGGCCGGTGGGAGGGCCCAGCCGGGGTTTCCTTTGGCAGTGGGAGAGGTTGGTGGTCCAGAGGCCAGTTTGGCTCTGTTCTGAGCTCCCCGACTCTGGTTTTGGGGGTCTGTGGCTGCCCCTTGCCCCATGCAAATGTGGCTGGGGTCCGGTTGTGGTCATGCTGGTGTTGCTCGTGAGGGCCTGGGGTTTGCAGGGCTGGGGCTGGCACGGGGGGCTTTGCTGCGGGTGTTTGCTCTGTCCTGTGGGCACAGCAGGAAGGGGTGCCAGGCCCCAGCTGGTGCAGCCCCTCGGTGTCTCCCATGTCCCTGCAGGATGCCGAGCCTTTTGGCAGCTGATGCTGGCCGTGGAGCAGGGTGCCACGGCAGCGGGCAGAGCAGCTCCAGTGCATTCTCTCTGGTGGCACAGGAGGCATGCAGAGCCCCTGGCCCTCGGGAGCAGTGGTGCCACTCGGTGTGGGCCTCGCTTGGGCACTGCCAGTCCCCATCATAAATCCTGGCTGTGGCTTCATGATGGGCCTGTCTCAGGTTCCTGCACTGGAATTTTGTCCCACCATGCCCGTCCCTGGCTGTGGCTGAGCACCTCATGCCATTGGGTGGGAAGATGATGCTGCAGACCCTTGAGGCGCGGTTGCCCAGTGCCAAAATCAGCGCAGCCGCTGCGGGTGTCAGCCGTGCCACATCCCAGCCATGGAGCAAAGGGCTGCACAGCCCTCATGCTGCCAGAGCCTTCTCCCAGAGCTGCCGGGCACATCCCTCCTTACGGCAAAGCTGCAGCCCCTCTCTCCCCCAAACCCTCCCCACACCGGGATGGTTCCTGCTCCAAACCGAGCCCGGGCGCCTTCCCTTCACCCACGGTAGGGCTGGATGCTGCCTGGATGCGTCCTGCTGTGCCGGAGGTTCCCTGAGGAATATTTTTCCCCTCCCTAAGGACTGCAGCAGCGGGGCCAGACCGTGTAAACACTGCGAGTATCATCTGATAGCGGCGGCACTTGGGCTGGAGCTGCTGGGGAACAGTTGTGTTGCCAATATATTAAATAATTCCCTGTGTAATGTATGCCCAGGTTATTGCGGAATTCATTTTATAATAAGAGCACTGGGATGCACTTTATTAATCATTCTGTCTAACAACCTGCACTCCACAGTTTCGGTTTGATTTGATTCAATCCTGTCTTTCTGCAAAATATATGGCTGAGTGGGTCGGATAATGTATGGCTTAATTTAGAGTTGTATGGGTTTGAATTACCATTTTCATAATGTGCTGTGCATTAATGTGTTGCATCATTTATACAGAAAAATGTGCAAGGTTTCAAACCTCTCCAGGAGGCAAAAGTCACCTAAAGGGAACGCGGAGAGACAGAAAAAGACCTTTTCAAATCCAGCTGGGGCTGGGAGGACACCGGTGGGTGTCAGATGTGGGGACAGCAGAGTTGGGGCTGTGCTGGTGGCTCCTTTCCCCGTGGCACAGCAACACCTTCTCCAGCTGGCCCCGAGCTGCCGGGGACCTGCAGCACTTGACTCGCCGGTGACCCCGGTGCCGGCGCTCGCCGAAGTCGCGCCCACCGTCACTCACCCCGCGCCGCGAGGAAAAAGCTCTGATTATCCAAATACAGTCATTAAAGGGGAAATGTGTTTTTAGGACTGTCAGAGTGATTAATGAGGGTTAGCAATCCTTGCAAATGCACTTGTTTAGTCTAACTGGCAGCCTCTCCTTTCCTATTGATTTATGGTGGCAGTTGCCGGGCCGTGGTGTGTGTGGAAGGAGCGGGGCTGCGCCGGGGCTGCCGGGGCACGGCGAGGGGCCCGGCCGAGCGGCACGGCACGCTCTGCCGTGCCGGAGGCAGCCGAACAAAGGCAACATTATACCCTGTGCCGGGGAAGGAATGACTTGGACGCACACGCCGAGCCGCTCCGCGTGCCTTATAAATATCCCCGTCTGTAAAGCCCGAAGCCCAGCTGACCACAGCCACGCTGTCCGCCCAATAAATACGTGAATGAAAGAGCCAGGCCCTATTTTTTCTTGTTGTTTTCCTTCCTCCTCTGCACAAAAATCCCCGATGTCTTTTAGGTGATGCAGAGGTGGCTGCCCGCAGACGTACAAGGAGTTTCAGAGTCCAGAGCGGAGCACGGCGTCCTCGAGGGCTGGAGCCTGCCCAGGGGTCAGGTCGGGATGCAGAGGCATGGGCCAGAGCAGAGCCATGGTGGGTGGATGAGAAGTTCCTCAGGCACATAAAGCAGCTTTTCTTTCCACGTGAGCACTGCTGGAAACCACGGAGAACACGGGCTCTGTTTGTCCTCAAAGCCAGAGGGGCGTGAACATCTCCTGTCCCCCCACCAGCATCCCCGTGCCCAGCCTGGGGTCAGGGCTTTGCTTTGAGGCACACTTGATGCTGCATGAGCTGAGAGCAGACCTGGAGGGACAAAGCTGTGCTTGGAGGTGGCAGCAGAGGTCCTGTGCCAGGCTGTGAGCTGGAGCCCTGCCGGAGGAGCAGCTGGAGCAGCGGGGTGACACGGCAGTGACACGGCGGTGACACGGAGCTGTGTGCATGGAGCTGTGTGTGCCCACCGGAGCCCCACACTGCCCTGGTGGGGATTCATCTCCAGCCACTCCAAGCAGTGGGACAGCACAAGTGACAAGAAGCTGGACGGGGTGAGTGGAGAAGGACAAAGATCTCGAGGTGCCAGGGCCAGAAGAGTGTGGGCAAGCACCCGGGGCGCTGCAGTGGCCAGGAATGCCATGAATAGGAGTGGACTTTCCTCTGGCTCTGGATAACTGCTGAAGAGCTGCAGCTGCCTCTGCCCTGGCCATGGGTTGGTGTGTGGTGCAAATCTCCAGCAGCTCCACTTCCAGCTTTGGCAGCGATACGCTGACGTGTTCCTCGCCACACCAGGACACCCGGCCTCGGCTGGTCACCAGTGACCCGTGGGAAGTGCCCGGTGTGACCATGGCCGTGGTTTCCCTCTTGTGCAGATTCTGATCAGCGTGACAGTCCAGCACAGGGCCCCTGGCAGGTGACAAAGCCCTGGGGTTTCCTCGCACAGGTTGACACCGGAGCTGTCGCAGTGATCCCGCTCATTCCTGCAGGCCGGGTCACAGTCACCCCTCTGTTTATTGCGGTGACAAACGGAGGAGTGCTGATCCTTACACACCAACACCTCAGCTGGACCTCCCCGGAGAGCAGGGGAGGCTGCTCCGCTGGCAGCTCCGTGCACAGAGCAGGGTCCTGGAGCTTGAGTCACAATAACAAAGATTTACACAGACCCTTGGGTTTTCTGAGAGTGTTCGTGGAAACCTCCGGGAGCAGCTTTGCCATGACTTCATCCCATCTTCCAGCATGGTGCAGGGAGACAGGACAGAGGATGTGACCCGCAGGGGAGGTGCCTTTGCCATAGGTGACAGTGGAATGCTGACCCTGTGCTATCAGAGCTGGCCCCGACAGGCTGAGCAGAGCTGGACAGGACACCCGACACTGTGCAGGGTGCAACGTGACCTTTTCCAACACCCTGTGGTCCCAACATTCATGGATCACCCCTCCTGGCCTGGCAAAATTTGGAAGGAGGTGAAAGATGCAGCATCCTGGGCATCTGGTAGCTTCTGGGCCTTGACAGACCTTTCCTG